TACAGCTCCGCGGTACGTTGTTCTAACGCAAGCCATAGAGGGCATAAGATGTTCCAGTTCCCGTGCAACAAAGCATGGAAGCAACGATGGGCCGTCGCTGTTAAGCGAGTGAAAGAGCGAGATGACCTGCGACAGGCAAACGTCGGTGACCGTTTATGCGCGGCCAATATTGTTACAGGCCAGTACAACGTGTTCTCTCTTTCTTCGGGTAGGGCCAGCGGGAAATAATGATCTCTAACAGTCTTTTGGCACCCACCAAAAGCGTCTCGATTATTCCACGAAGGGGTGAGCAGTGCTTGTCGTACAAGGCATCTGCGAGAACGCGGGGTGCGATCTCGCGGGCAATCAGTTCATGGCACGACGTTTCGTCAACATACAGTGCCATTGCCAGGCCGATTAATCGTTACATCGACAGCTCGGATTAAGATTTTCTGTGATGAGCCGCCGCAGACTGTTCCCGGGAAGCGGCGTGGATGGGTGGCTTGCTATAATATAAATAAACAAAAGGAAAGGTCAGCTTTTTGTAATATAAAGAAACAATAGCAAACGGGCAGCACCTTCATATTGACGGATAATAAAGCAGTAGCACGACCCTGCGTGGCTCATATAAAAATCGGTGCTCGTTTGTGTATGATTTCTTACTCGACATCATTAAAAAAAAACGTGCGGGAAGGGGGAAGGGGGGGGGGGGGCGGAGGATTATTGCAGTTCACGGGGGACAACTTAGTTGAAGTTCCAAAAACGCGTGAGTGTTCAAAAACAAGGATTGTCACGTAGTCAGATGTCGACGAAACTAACTTTCGCACGGAAGTGGCGTTTTAATCGCGCGAGAAAACATACTAGCTGAGTTTGAAACGCCGTCTGACCGACTTTTTTCCCCGTCTTAAACTTTTGATTTCCTAAAGATTTTCTTACCCAGGCTTAGGTGTTCTCACAAAGTGAGAAAAGTATGCCAGACCTCCGACCGGGCATTTCAGCTGGCCGTGTCTTACGGCTACCATTCGCGCCTATTTCAGTCGGTGATGTGATCTAACGTAACCATCAAAAATAAACAGAACCCGAATGAAAAACGCTGGCTCAAAAGGAAAACGAAACAACCAACCTGAGTTTTCATGCGAAGATCCGGAAAGCGCGGTGCGAGTGCAGCTTGCCGCCGGCCGCACTGGCTCTGCGCTTTCGTGGCCGTTCTCGATGCTTCTGCGTACCGATTAGTACTTAACATATCCGTAGAAGTAACTTCAGACGTTCAGAAGTGTGTAAGTCACCCAGCAGCAGAGGAAGGTGGCCCGGATTGATCGGGTTTCAACACCCGCACACGCTTCCGTAGCCGTCATGGGGCTGCGTCGGCTGCTAGCTACGAACCGGAAGTGAAGATTACCCAGAGTGCTTTGAGGCTGCTGCCAAACGCCGGTCACCTATTGGACAAGTCAGTTCTGAGGCAATGGAAGGTGTAAAGACGAGGGAATAAAAGAGATCGGAATGACAGGAGAATGCGAAGGACAACCAATTAACTGTTGCTGTTGTCATTTTAAACGTTGTTGTTGTCGTTTTCCCGTTAATTTCACTCCTTCCTTTTAATGGAACCCGCTCGAGATAATGACTATCATTGCAGGTCTTCACCCACACGATACGCTCAAGATAACATCAAGAGCATGGTAACGATTCGAATTGTTGTGATTAGAAAATGTGGCTAACTGAGCTCTACGACATGTCTGGAAGCTCAGCGATACTTTTCTGCATTTCCGTGGACTCTTTTAACATTTCTTGAGCGGAAAATAGTTTACTACGATTTTAGATAAAACTTCGAGGAACTGTCAACTGTTATTTGAAGCACCAAGATAAGTGTCACTAGTCTGAAGCGTATCTTATTTAATTTGCTCTGATAATAGTTAAGTGACAGGTGCTTGTGCCAAGAAACGACTCCAATTTTTAGGTCTCTTCAGCAGCTGCATTTCACGGCCCAAGTAAGAAATCACAGGGAAACGCGAGGATTTTTTTTCCTTAAAAAAAAACAATTACGATCTCTATACAATGCATATCAAACTTATGATGAAGCTATTATCGCTGCCGTCAGATGTCTAACCCCCCCCCCCCTTTTTTTTCCCTTTCCTCTTTATCCGCGTTTTACTCGTCTTTTTTCCTAGCCCCGAAAAACAAAATTAAACAAACCTTATAACAGCGTGCCTTGTGAGTGACCGTATTCCAATGCCTAATGTAGCCTTGACACATGGCCCTTCTTTACAGGTGAACTCCAGGACAGCACTGGCCTTCAGACATGGGTCTTCCGCAACGACGTTCATTGGACAGACTTCAAAGCAACGAGTAGCTCTTACACGTCTTTTATTTCCCGGCTTAACTGATCATTTCAGTTAGCACTCCGCTTTTAGCGTAGCAATGTCCATGTCCACTGCTTTGTGATAGCCAATGCCGTATTGTTCCGAAGGACTAAGAATATTTGTAAACAGTACTAGCTTCAGTCATGGCGGGAATCTGTCATAAAAAAGTTGTCGGTTTACTGCGTGCAGTCCTGAAGCTTGTTCATGTCCATTAGGATCATTACAGCAAGAGCCATCGTGGTTTCGCCTTTTTATTTTAGCGCATTTTTGTCATGTGTGAGTAATGTGCAAATGTCTAATAAATGACACGTCGAAACTTGTCTTCGACATCCCATACATAGTGTACGTGTTTCCAAGTACAGGTGTTCCATCTTCCTTTATCTTTCATAATTTCTAGGTTGAGCGTGGCCCTTTTTCCCGAGGTCCCAGAAACTCTTTACCTTAGACCGTAGGAGCTACCTTTAGCGAAAATAGAGTCGGAAACCCTACATTCGTGACGGATGGCATTGCATAGGATAAACGCCCTGTGTAGGATAAAAACGTAAGAAGGACGAGGGGCAGGCTGAAGAACCACGAAGACAGCAGAGTGGAGATGGCATTGTCACTCCGGTGAAATTCCCCTAGTCATTTCGCCACGATGAAGCGCTTGTTCTACTTGTAGATGCAGCACGTACTTGCTGCACGGTATCTACGTAGATAAACACCAAGCCAAGCCTTACGTCAAACCTTGCTGCCAAAAATACATTTTTTTTTCTTTTTAGTGTCTGGATTGCAGACCCAAGTCGCAAAACCAGGCTTTACGCTAAGTAATCGGAATCGCTCCTTGCTTGTTTTGAGTGGCAATCGATCCCGAAACGTCCTTCCGAAATAGAAGCATCAAATACAAGCACGTCGCTATAATCGAATTAATTTCCGCAACCTAAATACTGTGAAAAAGCTTTTTTGTTCCATTAAAGTTGTTTCTGTTTTGTCTTTTGCTAAACGGTGTACTACCAGACACTTAAAACCAATCTTTATTTTTAATTTAGTGTATGTCTTGTTTTAAGTCATAAGCTTTCCGCCAGCCTCGTGAAATTATTCACGAGGCCCCAAAATTATCACACGTAACACTTTTTTTTTACAGCGGAGCTGTTAAGGGCTAGTTTCCCCAGTTTCGTGTCCGGTACCAAACAAATGTCGACACAAAACTCTGAGCAGCTACCGCAATTCATGAGCGACGGAATTCATGAACCAGACAACCAATCTGGTTGCCGCCGTCCTTCATTGATGGCGGCAACCTTACCAGCCTTTCCGTCAAGGTGTGCGATGGTCCGGTGGTCGCCGTCGTGTACGCCCCCCTTCCCCCTCCCCCCCTCCCCCCCCCCCCCCCCCCCCCCCCCACGACGCCCAAGAAAGACATCGAAGCATTCATGATGGACGTCTTCGGCGGGTCGTGCTCGGCGACGACACGTCTGCCGTAGTGACGGGTGACTTTAACGTTGACATTGCACGCCAGGAGGGAAAGTGGTTCACATCGTTTATGCTTGAGCGCTTCGGGCTTACTGTGCCCACGACCGGGCATCGGACCTGTATAGACCTCATCTTCACGAAGAACGTGCCTGCGGTTAGCGTACATGCTATGGCGGTGTAAAACAGCGATCACAATGCCATGGCCATTGTGGTTACGAAATAAACGCCAACCTCAAATCGTTATATATATGTGATTTTTTAATCGTTCAAATAACCAATTACCCAATCACACCTTAATCCTTACATTTATAAATACTTCATTTCCACCATAGTCCAGCTTCGCTGGTCTTCCTTCTTCTCAAAAGTGGAAAGGCTAACAGTTTTTTTGTTTTTTTTTAACTGAGACAAAAAGGATTGTTAAGGCTGTCTACAATATTATAGTCACAATTACCTGGCGTTCAAATAGCATCGACTGAAAAAGGCACCACGACGTCGCTCCTTTTATTGGCGCCTTTGCGTGCGCTACTCCCAGTTTTTGGCTGTAAGGTAATGGCTTTACGTCGTAAGCAGCTACTGTTTCAAACACAGTGGACCCTTTGAAAAAAGTTGCGCGCCACCTAGTAGCTGTTGCAACAATTATTCGAGCCCGCCATTTGTTAGGAAACGTGCTCTGAGCATTTATTGGTCACGAGGGTTGCATAAGCGTTCGGAGTTAGCTCGGCTCATCTCGTATTGAAAACTATAGCTGCGTCAGCGTTCGGCGAGGACTCTGATCCAATCACACGTTTCGTACCAAAGGAGCTAACGGCTGTACACATTATAACGGGCGGTAGTTAGCGCCACCTAGCCTAGAAATTAAGAACCAAAAGTATGATTTCTTTTTCCTTCACCAAGTTGGCTTACCCTCGACAATTTCGTAGCTATCACCAGGCGGTGTGGGATATCACCACGATGACCTTTGAGGAATCGGGCAAGCAAAAAAAAAAAACACTAAAAACATAACTGTCCACCTTTTCCCCGCCGGCGAGGGAGTGATGGCGACCGCGAATGTTGCTCGATGAACTTTTGATAGACGCTCTATACTCTATAATCACATCTACACACCAGGTGCGCAGTTGACTGGGAAAACTCAATCGGGTGTAAAGTGCGCCGCAAAGATATCCTGTGCACATGTATGAGTAGACAGGTTGTCGTAGAAATTATTTGAGCCTTGAAAACGCAGGTCTTTCGCTGTTTTATTTTTTAGCCCGATATCTGGCCATCCGCGCAGGTAGACCTATAACACGCAGACTCTACAATTCGATCGTGTAGAAGTTGTCGCCGTTGTAGTTGGGCTTCCCTGTATTTCCGTAACGGATCTTGCGACGCTCCACGGGCTTTGCGTTCCACTGGTCGTACACCTGGAAATTGGAAGAAAAAAAAATTAAAAATAAACGAGATGAAAATTAAAAACGTATACAAATTTATGTAATGCAAAGCTAAAGCGCAGTTCTTGAAGAGGAAGGGGGGAGGGTATGCCCCTCCTCCTCCTAGCTCCTCTCCTCCTGCCGCTGAATTTGTTCGTGGGTGACATGACACGAAGTCGTAACGTCGTTTTCCCCCGCTAAATTTAGCGGGGAAAGTGAATTGGTGTTGTAGCAATGTCCCGTGTTGTAGCAAGCAGGCCGTCGTTTATCGGCGGCCTGCTTGCTGCAGGTTGTCGAGAAACGATGTTTTTCCGTCTGCTATAGAGTATAGGGAAGGTCCAGAGGACACGGTCTTGGTCCTCGGGAACATCACAGGACGGGCAGTTTGGGTTGATTGTTGGGTCCATACGATGAAGGGTTTTTGCATTGAAGCCACAACCAGTGCGAAGTTTGTGCAGTAAAGAAGCGGAGGCTCGGGACAGCCTTGGAGAAACTCAAGAAGAGTGGTTGTTTGGGCGAGTTGATTTGACATCTTATACAATCTTAGGCGCAGCAAGGACGAGGACAAAAAGAAGAGAACAGGACAGAAAAAGGCGCAACTTTCAACTGAATTTTAGTGAATACGTGTTTCGGTATTTATAGCCTCAACCATCGTCACAATGACCCAAGCATCAGAGAATGTTGGGAACGTAGGTGCACGCGCCTGCACGTGCTCGCCTCCCCTATAAAAAATATTCGAATAAATAACCAATATAAAGCGCCCGTGGAACGCGCGTGCGAAGTACCATTTGTCTTCGATTTTATGCTTTCGAACAGTTGGAGCTGATGACGTCATCACGCGCAGCGCGTGTACCTAAGTTCCCGGCATTCGTTTTGACGCTTGGAGAATTCAATCAATCAATCAATCAATCAATCAATTTTATTTACATCATCATCAAATAGTGATGTGGGCTGCAGAGGCAAAAAGTCAAAACAGTTTTGACTTGACAAGGCCTCTGCAGCCTTACAATTGGCATACGGTAACAAACAACAGCAACCAGGGGAAAACAAGCAGACAGCGACATGGGGAAAAAATAAAAAATAAAACACTTATATACTCTATTTGCTGCTAGAGGAAGAATTTGACCTCTTACACAAAGAACGAAAATAACAACAGCATCTAGTGACTGGATGTATACAGGAAACAAAAATATATAAACCGGATGCATTTACAGCTCACAAAGACAATTTATTTTTTATTTGTGAAAACAAAGTTCTCGGATTTCATTTAAATGTAGCTTTTCAATGTTTGACAAATTTTGTTTTTCAGCTTTATTTAAGACAAGTGGAAGATTATAGCTTAACATTTGAAACCCGTAGTTCGTGCGATTAAATGGAATTTACCAGCGCTCCCTTTCCCTAACGTCATAAGGTTTAGAAATGGGAGTTAAATTTGAAATACAAGTAAAAAATGGTTCATTACATCGGAGGGTGGATCTATATCGTCTGAGGAGAGTAAATTCATATGAATCAAGAATAGATGTTAGATGCAGCTCTTTAAACAGAAGACGAGTGTGTGTGTCAAAAGACACACTTCGTATAATGCGGACAGCCTTTTTTTGAAGAATATGTAATTTATTTAGATTGGACTGGCTTGTTGTGCTCCACACCAAGCTACAGTAATTTAAAAGAGGTTCAAAAAGAGCTTTATATATGAGCAGTTTTAAATGACAAGGCAGTATATTTTTAAACTGCTACAATTTTCCCAGCACTTTTGAAAGTTTTTTAGCTATATTGATAATATGATCATTCCAAGACAGGTGGTTGTTAAAATAAACTCCAAGCGTTTTCACATTTTGAACGAGTTCGATTCGAGAGAGGCCAAGAACAATATTAAAATTGGAACTAACATTTCTATTCTTAGGTCTGAAAAGGACCGCGTTGCTTTTGCTCATATTAATTTCTAACGAGTTTACTACACTCCATTCATATAGCTTCTTTAGTGTGGTGTTAGTTTCATACACCAGTTCCTGTATTTCAGTGCCTGAAAAAAATAAGCTAGTATCATCAGCATAAATGATGAAAGAGGGGGTTCTACTGATGTTAACAATATCATTTATATACAAGTTAAATAAAAGAGGACCCAAGATGCTACCTTGTGGTACTCCTGATCTGATAGGTTGAACAGTACAACTTTGACCATTTATTACAACACATTGCCGCCGAAAATTAAGATATGATTTTATAATATCGAGTGTTACAGCACGGACTCCATAACATTCGAGTTTTTTTATGAGAGTAATATGATCGATACGATCAAACGCTTTAGAATAATCTATAAAAATACCCAAAATTAATTTTTTTTTCTTCGAAAGACTTCAAAATTAGCTCCTTCTGTTGTAACAATGCCAATTCCGTTGATCGACCTTTGCGAAAACCGAAGTGAGAGTCTGTAATTATTGCAAATTTTTTACAGAAACTTGTTAATCTATTATGAATGATTTTTTCAAGGCATTTAGAAAACACAGGTAATATTGATATAGGTCTATAATTTGAAAATTCGTTTTTGTTTCCACCTTTAAACAAAACAATAACTTTTGCAATCTGCAATTTTGTAGGAAATACACCACTATACAATGAGGCATTCACAATATGTGTTAAAACTGGTGCCAAGGCATCTAATACATACTTAATTGGTTTGATCTGGAAATCATCTATATCAGAGGAGTTACTGTTTTTAAATGATAACATTGTGGAAAATACTTCTTGTTCGTCTGTTGGAAAGAAAAAGGCATTGTGTTGATTTCTAGGTTTCATAAAGGCCATTGATAACGGACTATGTATGCTACTTACAAGATTTATTAGATACGTATTAAAAGCTTCTGTGTGAGCTTTTCCTTGCAATGTTACACCTTCTTTAGTTATTTCTTGTCAAGCTGACTCAAATGGGCTATGTTTCAACACTTGGTTTAGCTGTTTCCATACAATATCTGTTCTCTTCATACATGTCTCATTAAATAAATTATGAAAATATGTTTGTTTAGACTGGCGGAGAACCTTATTCACTGTATTTCTGCATTTTTTTAAAAGAGCAAGGTCTTCTGGAGTTCTTGTTTTAAGAAACGTACTATACAGTTTATTTTTTTATTATTAATCAATTTTAGGCATTTTCTAGTTACCCATGGCTTGCGGTTCTTTTTAGCTTGTTTCAATTGCCTATAAGGAAAAGCGTTTTCATATATCTTCTTAAAAATAGCTAAAAATTCATTATACGCTTCATCAGCAGATGTAGCGAAAAAACCGGGTCCCAATTTGTATTTGAAATAGTTTCACGAAATTTTTCTAAAGTGGCGGAATTTATGCTTCGGATCCTAATAGTCCTTCTGTTTTCATTCTCACGCTCAATTTTCTGGTACGTTATATTATTTATCAACATGAATATGGGTAGATGATCACTTAAACTATATTCCAGAACGCCAGCACTAACCGAGCTTACTTCTTGATTAGTCACAAAAACATCAAGCAATGTGGACGATGGGGATGTGACACGAGTGGGAGAATTTATAAATTTACAAAAGTTATTTGATGTAAGTAAAATAAGAAAGTCGTCTTTGACACGCGATTCTTCGAGTAAGTTTATATTTAGGTCTCCACCAAGAAAAAGTTTACATCTCTCCTCATTTGCAAAACAAAAAAGTTCTTCCAAAAAGTTAAAAAAGATTGAAACATTTCCACCTGGTGGACGATAAAACACCGAGTAAATGCAGTATTTTCTTCTAACACAGAGTATCTCATAGTCGCGAGTCATGATGCCAAAAGGTCTATATTGTTTAGCGAGACTTGTTGCTGGCCTAGTTGGTTCATTGCACTGAGTAAACTTGCACAGCCACTCGATCAAAAACAAGCTACGGCCCGCTACGTAGGCCGCCGTATATAGGCGAAGGCGAGATAAATCAGTTTACACTACTGGCCGCGCTGGCGCTAGTAGTCGTGTATGCCCCGGGCAATTCCGGGGACCCGCCCTGCTGAGGAGCAGCGGAGAGATAATGTTGAGATATTAAGGCGCAAACGGCGAGGAGGAGAATACGAGGGAGACAGGAAAAAGCGCTGACAACCGACGCATAATACTCCCGAAAGAGAAGGAAAAGAAAGAAGTTCCGGATGAAACATTGCAGAGAACAAAAATCCCTCAAAAGCATATGGTATACGTAAAGAAATCATGCACACCACGGAACAAGCCAACCAGTGCCGGTGATGGACCGCTGGGAGCACAACCACACCGGCAGTTGACGATTTTTAGCACGACCGGTAGCGCCGCGGTGGTCGCCCGGGGTACTAGGCGCGCCTCGCCGTTTGCGGCGCATATGGTGGGTCGCCGTGAAACTTGTATCCGCAAACACAGAACGAACACAAAGGAGTGTACAAGGACAAGCGGCCCCTTGAAGCAGCTTCGGAATTTATAAGAGACATGCAGCTCTTACCCAGATGCCATCGGACGCGCAGGATTCAAAGATGGCGGCGTGACCCAAGTACTTGTTGCCGGGCTTGAGGAAAGTGGCGATGGCGGTAAACTTGGGAATGCTACCACAGTTACTCTTCACCTGAAATTAAAAAAAAAATGCATTGATGAAGGCTCTTTTTTTCCTCTGAAATACATAATAGGCATTAACAGAAAGCACAAACGTTTCATGTAAAAATGTATGTGTCCGGGGTATTTTACGCTTGTGTCACCTTACAGTCAGTTCATGTCAGGCTGTGCATGTCCTTAGTTCAAAGGCAAGCTGCTTGTCAAAGTATGTCCCACTACCTCCCTCCCCCCTCCAAGGTTACTAAACAGAGACCCGCTGCCACCCGTGGGAGACTTTGAGCACTGCTTACAGCACCAAATATAAACATTAAAAAATTCACCTTCATCGACTGAATTTTCTAAAAAGCTATACCATATTCTACTCATTCCAAACTGTGAAACAGGAAAATAATAATTTCCCATCCAAAACTTTGATGTTAAACAAATTAATCTTCTATCTAGTTTCCCATCGATTCTTCTACTGTGCAGTCATCGGTTTATGGGAGAATTGTTTTTCATGTCAAACACTGAATACCAGCAATGCTGACCTATAGAAACTTCCGAAATAAAGTCCACCAACAAAAAAAAACATTCCAAACTACGCGGTACTCCAACTTTCTTTGCCAACATGATGGCAAACCCGGAGACTAGGGTACAAAAGAGTACAAATTCTAAGAAGAACTGAAAAAAGAACAGACGTTGCCGCTGCTTTCTTTTCTTTTTCATTCCCTTTATTGTTTTAACCTCTTCCCAGATCCACGTTTACCATCACCAGCTCGCCTACACTTTAAGCTTTTTTTTTAATCCCCCCGTCAGTGTTTGGTCTGTTGTGGTGTAGTTTGTTCGCTAGCGCAGCCTCGTTCCATGTGTGACGCCCTAAAAGCCTAAGCCCAGCGGCGGAGTACTACGCACGTGTTGTCCGCGGACCCATCTTCCCGTGGTGTAGTCCCTCAGGTTGCCGCACTTCTCCTTGACCAGGGCAACGCACTCCTTCTTGTCGACCCCGATGACCCACCGGCCCTGGAAAGGCGACGGATCCGAGCAGCCGATGGCGTCACTCACTGCGCAGGGAGGTCGAGACAGGAAACTGGAGCCCTCGATGGGACGCTGCCACAATTCGCTTTCACTCCGAAAAGTTTGCCCCTTTTCCGTACCATTGTTTTAAGGCAATGACGAAGCGCGGCTCGAGCCAAACCAAATTGTGGATTTTTTTTTTTTTTTAAGTTCTTGCAAGTCGCCTGATGTCACCTGTGACGTTTTGCGACTTCCGTATTCGAAGTTGAATATATTTCAACTCTCAGGGGACCCCCAACGGCCGAGTGGCTAGCTCGGCCAGCTGCCCTCTAGTGGGCAAGAGATCGAAGTACAGAGGGCGATTTATAGAGCGTGTCATCCCCCCGGTGTTTACTATAACGCAACGTAACAAGGAAATTGAAGCTCGCCTAGCAGGGCCTGGGCACGAGCGCTTCGCTCTGACCAGTGCTTTGGTCACACAAGGGGCGGCCTTCGAATCGTCATTTTCGATTTCTCTGATCAAGCACAGACAAGAAAATTCGGCTTGCTGTCCCCACAGCTGAAGCGTACCGTTAGTGGCGTGACTGCTCTATCTCCTCCGCAAGACTGAACCGCAATGTCGTCACCCACAAAGGGTAGCAGAAGACGCAATGATTTTGTGCTTTCTGGGACCGGCAACCCACAAACAGAGAATGTATTCCGTGTTATAAAAATTTCAATCGTGATTTAAATTAGTGTTGCGGAATGAGCACATTCATTCCATTCCAACTCTATTCCAAGGAATTGGACTTTCCGATAATTCCATCCCTTTAAACTGCTAGGAATGTAAACACTGCGCCAATTCCCAGTCCTGAATGGCTGAACCGTTTCATTCCATTGCTCTAATTCCCAACCGTGAAAAATGGCGTTTGATAGCTACATTTTGTTGCCGGCCAATACGTGGCTTGCACAGGACGTCATTTCCGTTGCCCTCCAGAGAAGAGGGGAAGAAGAAGCTCCCCTCTTATCAGGATCCTCCTTTGTGCCTCCCGGATTTGCACAGGCGTCGCCATTCTCCTCCCAGAAGATTATGGAAGATTAACCTGTCACTCAAAATTCTTACAAAAGCAGCTCCCCTCTCCTCCTTTTACTTGGTGTTCAAATATGTGCGATGTGACGTCAGCGCAAGGAGCCTATACGTGGCTTGCACATGACGTCATTTCCGATGCCCTCCAGAGAAAAGGGAAAGAAGGAGTTCCCCTCTTATCAAGATCCTCCTTTGTGCGTCCCGGATTCGCAGAGGCGTCGCTATTCTCCTCCCAGAAGATTATAGAAGATCAACCTGTCACTCAAAATTCGTACAAAAGCAGTTCCCCTCTCCTCCTTTTACTTCGTGTTCAAAAGTATGCGATGTGATGTCAGTGCAAGGAGCCTATAACGTTAGCGTAAAGCTGACGTTATCAAGCGGATATAGACAACTGCACAAAATATGCAAAAGACGTCCCGAAAGCATCGATTCTACTAAGCCGAGCAGTAGCGCTGGTGGTAATTGGTATGTAAGGGCACCGAAGATATCGATCGCGAGACCAAGCGTAAAGCCGGGGTTTCATACAAAAGATAGTCTAACCCAGGATCTTGGGTTCAATCCCTAACCCTGCCCGTTTCGATCTGGATGAGCATCGTACCGGCGTGCGGTCATGTATCCCTACTGCGTGGTGCACGTTAAACACCCCAGGCTAGCAGTTGTACTGCCACGGCCACTCGATCCCCCCTGTTGGTACTGCACTGGCTAAATTGCTCATCTACAACTGGGAGAATCGTCGCCCCTGTGAGGCAGACCAAGTTCTAGGCTGTATAGACGCTTTCAGCGAGTCAGTTACTCGAGCTGCCACCAGTCGGCGCGCCCTTCGCGCTTTCCGTGCCGCCATAGCCGCCCTTCAGTTTCTCGCCGTTCCTCCGCGTTGTTGCTGTACCGGCCGCGACCGGAGCTTTGTTTTCGCGTTCTTTTACGTTCCGCGTAGAAATCGTGTGATTTCTTTAGGTCGTTTCGAAGTTTCGGGCTTTCATTTAATCATTTGATATCTATATTTCAACATAGCTCTCGTATTTTCTTATTTATTAAATGGAATCGGACAGCGAATGGATCGACCGTACAAGATTATGGCTTCAGAGACCATGTAAGTTCATCCCATTCTAACGTTTTTCTCGCTAATAAAGGGCAGTCAACATCATTGCGACATTTGCAAAATTCAACTGACGGAGTAAGGCTATCGCAGTCGTGCTTCTCGCTGCGTGTGCGTGCTCGTTTCCGTAAAGCCGACCCGCGTGTAAGCGACTTAGCGTGCGATGAGACGAACGACGGCGACGACGAGAGTCGCCTGTTGCATCGCTCAATTTTTGTGATTTCTAGGAAACGTCGCTCATTGTCGTGGTCGCTTGCTCCCGTCGCTTCCATGCGGTTTGCCTCGTCGTGCGACTGCCCGAGCGACAGCGAAGCGGGTCACCGTCGCTTGTCTCGTTGCTGACCGAATCGCTTGCATGCGGTTTATACTTAATATCGAGGCGCCAATGGTTGAATTCGGTGTGCATGGAAATTAATTGAGTATAAACCGTATGTAAACGATTTGGGGAGCGACCAGATAAGCGACGGCGACCCGCTTCGCTGTCGCTCAGTCAGTCGGGCGACGAGGCAAACCGCATGAAAGCGACGAAGCAAGCGACCAAGACGGTGAGCGACGTTTTCCAGAAATCCCAAAACCGAGCGATGCGACGGGTGACAGTGAGAAATCTCCATCGCTCGTCTCATCGCGCGCTAAGTTGCTTACATGCGGGTCGGCTTTACGGAAACGAGCGCGCATACGCAGCGAGAAGCGCGACTGGATAGCCTTACTGCGTCAGTTGAAATTTGCATATGTCGCAATGATGTTGACTGCCCTTTATTAGCGAGAAAAACGTTAGAATGGGATGAACTTACATGGTCTCTGAAGCCATAATCTTGTATCGTCGATCCATTCGCTGTCCGATTCCATTTCATAAATAAAAAAATACAAGAGCTATGTTGAAATATAGATACCAAATGATTAAATGAAAGCCCGAAATATCGAAACCACCAAAAGAAACCACACGATTTCAACGCGGAACGTAAAAGAACGCGAAAACAAAGCTCCGGTTGTGGCCGGTACAGCACACAACGCGGAGGAACGGCGAGAAACTGAAGGGCGGCTATGGCGGCGGGGTCACGTGACGTCAAGATGGCGGCGCCCATGAAATGTTGCCTGAAAGCGTCTATAAACATACACACAACCTTTTTTTTTTTTTTTAAGACAGTCTGGATACAGATTTGAACTCGAGTCACCTCGAGATCCATGCTTCGAGTGCCGCATGGCAATGAGTTCAAGGAGAAAACTTGGCACGCGGCATTTGAACCACGGATATTGCAGTGGCTCGTGTTTGCAGACTGTCGTTTGTTTGATGTATAAGCAGTGGGACCTAGGCTTTAAAGTCTCGTAACACACGGCAAAACTTCAAACCACACATTATCTTCACATAGGGACCGTATGCATCCTTCACTTCTTGGAGATGCACGGTAACCGCTCATTCACACTGGAAGCGGATCCGCGTTCGCAAAAGCGGTTGCGAACGCGGTTGTATAAAGATCCAGTGCAATTGCACGCGCACCCGATGACATCAAGTGCGCGTGCATTTGTACTGGATCTTTATACAACCGCGTTCGCAACCGCTTTGCGAACGCGGATCCGCTTCCAGTGTGAATGAGCGGTAAGTGAGGAGTCACGCACCCAAGAAACGCAGGCGGTGCAGGATCGTCCCTCTGCCTGGTAGCGTATTAGCCCCGTGCGCCACCGAAAGCGTCGCTGTGGTCGGCCTTCCACGATTGGCCGAACGCTGACTATGACGTAGGAAAGGGGATTTATCATCGACGGAAATATGAGGAATGAAAGAACTTTAATTTTGACGGTGTTTGCAGTGTTGCTTCAAGAGCTCAATGATTTCAAGCTTCCACCATGCTATTTACAAACACCATCGAACTTGTTGTTTGCAAGGTAATGACGTCACAAGGGGGAACCATAGGAGGGCGCCACCAAAACATCTCGCCGCTAATACGACTGGTGCTGTAATCGCACATGGTCACAAGAGCGGCACTGTCGCGTCTCGCGGCGCCAGGAACGAGACTTTGTCCGCCTACAACTCTACAGTTTTTGTCGCTTCTCTTGGAGTGCCACGTTTTTCCTCGAAGGAACATCAGCCAGTCAGGTACCCAAGCCGTCAGTTACCTAAAGTGCAAGTATGTTGATTCAAAAGCCCCCTTGACTACGTTGACACAGCTCGCGTAAGAACAGAGCAGATTTCACTTCCGCTCCACTCTGGGCAAAGTGCGCATTATTCCATTCTAATTCCATTCCTCGCAGTACTTCCGCCATTCCACTAACATTCCATTCCGGGGGTGCATATTTTTACGGTGCAGGCGATAGACTTCCTAGCAACGACGCTCACGCCGGATTGGCTGCTCGACAACGCGCGGGCGGCCATAGAGTGTGTAGTCCCGTACCCAAGCCCGTAACCCTATACACGCTTTGCAGCAGTTGTGCATGGACGCCGCCATAACTGACCTTAAATTTTTGTTTCCTCTTATTACGTTTATTTCACTTCATCATTACCATAGCAGGCCAGGTTAATGCCCCATTAGATTCAACTGTGTCCTTTTCTAAAGCATCGGTCTTTCTAGAGGATCGTCAACTACCGTTTCAGTTGCTCGGCATCTTGGTAAGACAAGAGAAGGTCGGCTATGGCGGCTGTATTTGGCGCGTGTGTAAAGCGTCTTTAAACTATTCTAAACATAAGCCAGAATGTTGCATGAGATACTAGTTCTCTCGGCACAGAGCTCGCACAAAAATACCTCGACGTGGCTGGCCTCCATTGCTGTTGTGGAGTGCTTCTTTTTATTATTTCACGAAAACAAGGAAAACAAGGGTGAAAAAGAAGCTTTTCCTGGCACTTTTCCTATAATCTACTGCGTAGCACAAATTGTTACCCATTGCAAAGTAACTTTCAACTTTGAGGCTGTGAAAACAAATAATCTCGATCGCTGGCACCCCGATCGTTCGTCCGCCTGCCCGCTGGTGACGTACGCGGGTAGAGGAAATGTAGGACTTTTTCATTATTGCCACTAAAGAGTCGCCTCTTGGAACCTTCGTGGCCGGTGTAAATTAAATATTAAAAAAATTCAAGGAAACTTGTTTATTTATATCAAATATGTTGTTTATCAGTTTAGAAACGGTCGATGATACAGTCTGCAAATTTCCAGAAAAATCGAAGACTATAAAGAAAAAAATCGCCGGAATTTCCCTTTTAGCTTTTTTCAATAATGTGTCTATAGGTGGTGCATTTATCGTACTGAAATTTAAACCTTAAAAGAACTGTTGTTGTCTTCTATGCACAGAAAGGAAAATGGCAGAACATAAAAGACAAACAAAAACAAAAAACACGTAAAAACTTCTTTTTTTTAAAGATGATTGCTTGAAAGCCTTTTAGCTAATTCGAGCGTGTGTGGTATTAACCATATCAATAGCAGCGGCAAACAGACGCTTTTTTTTACCGCTTTCCTCCCCGTGCTTAAGAATAAGGTAGGATTTTAGGCTTAAATTTTCTTCATGGAACCCACACTCATAAACTTTGAACATGATAAACGTACCACCTAAAGACATGTTTGTGCCAAGTTTCAATGCACTCCATTCATTGGCGTATTTGTAGGATATTTATTTGCACCCGAATATCTTCCAGACGCACCCAGTGTTCCTTCTCAAGATTTACTGAAAATTGCGAGTCATACGACCGAGCGCCTTACAACGCCTTGTGATCTCTAACGACGAGAAAACACGCTGTTGTCATCTATCCGGTAGCCGTGGAACACAGGCGATTTCCGTATACTTCCTATTTTTTCGCGACTGAAAAAAAAAAGAAAAAAGAGGACTCTTGACAGTGTTATTAACGACCATTTTTCATAAATAGTACGTACATTTGATTTTTTCCAAATACTGGAAAACCCCGCACTAGTGAAGTGCAGTTCTAGGGCCAGCTCATAGATGGCGCCAGCTTGCCAATGTGAGCATTCGTTGTAAGAGACCACAAGAATGTGCGTTTACGTGAACCGGCCTTTAGCAACACCACCTAAAATAATCAAAGCCTCCGCATCGCCTCCTCTCCCTTAATGAAACGTCATCGCAGTCGGATCGCGCTAACTCGGCTATTGGGAGCGAGTCCGACCTTCGACGCGCTGATTGAACACGAGCCCCGGCCGAACACTGACGCAGCACTCGTAACCAATCTCAGGCCTCGATCAATCTGACTGTGATGACGTTGCGATCACGGTGCGGAGGCCTTCCGCTTAACTAGGTGGTGTTGCCTTTAGCCGACTAGTTGTGTTGCTGCATTCCTGTTAATTCCAAAAAGGTGGAAAAGGACCACTTACCGGCCGCCAATCCCAGGACCACGAGCGCTGCGCTGATGAGGAAAAGCTTCATGACTACGACTTGCCGTTCCGCCAATACACCAACACCGTGCATCGGGCACGCCTTTATATATAATGAGCTTCCGACACCCTCTCCCATATTTCTTTCTCTCTTATATCGCTATATTTATGGGTTTTTACGCAGCGGCGTGATACTCATATCTGGGAAACGTTTGGCGACCTCTGCTCAGTCTCTCGGGTAACAAAAGGCCGATATGCGTAATCGCTATCACGCTCCTTACCGCGAGCAACTTCTTTTTACGCGAGATATCTTATTTTTATGTTATATTGATTTTTTTCCTTGCTGTGAGCTGCTATTTAATGTTGCCTATGGTACGGGCACTGGGAGTGCAGCGGTCATAGCGAAATGAACATAAAGTGGCCGTGGTCTAGTTCTTAGGATTTATCATGAGGTTCTGAAAGGACAATGTTATCCTAATCTTCTGGGCCATCCGCTTACTGTACTCAGGTGAACATTCACCCCTCGGCAGATGCGCGCTCAGTATGCAAGTATTAGAAAGCAAAGGCATACAAAATACATGAAACTAAAGATGCGACAATCGTTCGAAACGAATAAGGTCTGAATACAGAGATCTTACGGTGCAAAGGAGGGGGGGGGGGGGGGGGGGGGGGGGGGGGGGGGGGAGAATGTACTATGCTCCTTTCGTTGCTGGCGTAGAAGATGCAACGCGGTGCTACGTGGCTGCGGCCTCACACAAACTCCTAACACATGCTACACCTCCATTTCTGTCAGTGAGATATATGATAGAGAGCTGAGTGCAACGAGCTTTTCTTCAGCGAAATATTATTGCTGCTCTCTTGCAAACGTGCACATACTTACATAGTTAATACATATACAGCGTGTCCGAAAATTATTTTACAGTGTGCTTTTAACCGGTCTTAGAATGTACAGGGTGTCACAAAAAAATGTACAGGGTTTTTTTCACCGCAAAAATAAACTAGGCATTGTCGAACGCTCATTTTCCGCCCAAAGGTAACTTTAGAGGTCAAAACCAGATCCCAAAGTTTCAGCCGGATCCGATAACTTATTCAAAAGTTATAAGTAAGTTTCTGAAAATTTCATTGGGAAAATGGAGCCCATTTTTGGCCGTTTTCGGTTTCTGGTGCCCATAGAGCCCCATGTATTCGAAAACTCCGTCGGCCGCCATTTTCCCATTGAAATTTTCAGATAATAACTTATAACTTTTGATTAGGTAATCGGATCGGGCTGAAACTTTGTCATCTGGTTGTAACCTCTAGTGCTACCTTTGGGCGGAGAGTGAACGTTCGGCGACGCCTAATTTATTTTTGCAACAAAAAAAAAAACCTGTAAAATTTTTTTGTGATAACCCGTAGAACTCAGAGCCTTCAAGACTGATATAATATGCACCGGTCTGCCTATGTGCACATTATAAATATCAATGAACGAAGTGTTCGTAAGAATGTTTTCCTGGACACGTGTTTTGCAAACGGCATCACCAAGACTCTTGTGACACAGGAGGCTATGCCCGTGGCGATATCTGACGATATTGCACCGTGGACGGGAGTATGTTGTAACGGTAAATATTATGTAGATAATATATATATATCAAAGCGATTCTTGTTTTTCCGGTTTTTTTTTTTTTTTTTAGGGGGGGGGGGGCTTTAAGAAAAACGTTGATGTGCATTTCCTTCCATGCGATATAAATCTCTTTTTATTTTTCGACATATTTTTCTGCATGCTGTGACAAAGAGCGCTGACAGCTAATAGTTAGCGCGCGGCATGTGGGTGGAAGCAAGTCGGATTAGTTATAAGTCCCCTCAATGATGTTATTTACTGTTCTCTTTCGTTCATCGGTGTGACTCAGCGGTTTTTTTTTACTTTTGTACAAGGAATTTTACCAGAATGCTAGAAGTTTTTATGCAAGCTGGATAATAATATAGTCTTCATAGCACAAAGAAAAGTCAGGATACCAGCAGCAGCATGTCGAGTTCAATCCCACGCTTCTAGTTTAGTCTAATTGTCTGCGACGATAAACACCGTGAATTGCTGTTTTATGATAAACTAGCGGCTTTGAACTCGTGACAACATATCTGACCCCCAAGGGCGAACTTCATTTGAACGTGTGACAAAACAGCAAATACATCGTCATAAAATAAAAAAAAAAAAAAAAAAAGAAACGTATTTAAACAGATTCTGTAACAGCGCTTGGAGGGCCGATGAAAAAAAAAAGTACAAGGGTATTCCAACAATCGGTGTTACATTCTGGTGATTCGGAGGGCGATCTGTGACACCATTGCTTTGTTTTCTTCCTGTTCGTCTTAAATCCGATTAATTAATTAGGCTCAGACAACTTCTTAAACAAGAAAACGATGTGGAATCTTTTTTTTTTTTTTTTTTATCCCTCATTTAGCTCAGGTATTTATTCGGAATTTGAGGAACTAATAATATTGTATGTACTAATAATATCTTATGCACTATGAGTATACTATTAACACTTTATGTGCTATGAGTACTATTTTTACTTAAGGGAAAGCTGAAAAGGTTCTTGAAAGAAAACGAGTTAGAGGTGAATTTAATCGTATTTGTGTCATGCGAGTTTGAATGTCAGAAGCATTTGACTCGAACGCATCGATGGACGCGAAAAAAAACCGAGAAAGCAGCCCTTGGGTGTGACGTCATACCCAGAGCTTTCAAGTGCCTTGCACTTGCCGCTTGTGAGGGAACGCGTCCAGAGAGTATTTGACCGCTCACGTAAGGCTTGCGGAAGGCGCTGAAATAGGGAGTTTTCGTAGATCGTTTTCGCCGTCCCGCAACGCTCTCCGCAACCCGCTACGATTCCCGAAACTCTACAGTCAAGGCTATCGGCGCGCAGGCGAAGTAGCGGCTTCTTCGTTGCGGAGAAGGGAACACGGTCTACGACAACTGCCTAATGTCACGAGTGTCTCCTCCCACCGAACGCGCCGGCAATGTTTCACCGCTATTTTGAAAGTGCGGTTGTGGCTATACTTGGCGCATCTATCTGAAATATAATTTTGATATTCGTGGTCCTGCAGGTCCAATGAAGGCGATTTACGTGTTTTACCTCAAATACAGAACCGTTTCAGTTTCCCTTTAATGTACTTTGAGTACAATTAGTAGTTTATATAAACCGAATAGTATTAAATACTAAAAGCACATATACGATGAGTGCTATGAATATTTTATGTACTATGAGTTCTATTAATACTTTATGTACTATGAGTGCTATCATTACTTTATGTACACTTAGTATCATTATTACTTTATGCGCTCTGAGTAGTAATAACGCTTTATGTACAATGAGCACTAGTAATACTTTATGCACTATGAGCACTATTAATACTTGATGTAGTACGAGAACCATTAATACTTTTCTACTATTCACCCTTTGGCGGTGATTGCCGTACATGTGCGGCGGTGACTGCACATTTAAAAGTGCTTGCCTATAAACGCGAAGCCGCACGAACCGCGTGAGGTGTTGCTATTCGTTATGTCTTTGGCAAACCGCACGATGTTTCCCTTTGCTGGCACTATACGCAATATGAGCACTCTTATTACTTTATGTACTACTAGTACTTTACATAGTACTCAGGTATCTGATCATAAGCCCGCACGTCCCACTTCCACGCGTCGCTCTATAGGGAGTATCTTAATGCAATTGCCTTTTTGCGACCGACATCGTGGGAAAACACACCTTATCTGGAAACGGAAAGGCACGTTTAGCATCGTGCCGGTTTTTCCACAACCGGCCACTATCCAGAGATAAGAGAACATTGCGTTCTCCTGGAGACGCCTTCATTAGGTGCACACCACTGATGTACCCAGAGGAGAGCTAGCTTACGGCGCTCACCCCACCCCCCTCCCCCGAAATTCAGTCGACCCTGTAATATCCACATGCGCTTTGATCTCCTCTCCCTTCCCTCCGCACTCCAGGTCATGTCCATTCCAGCCATCTCCAGAACCCCCCCCCCCCCCCTCCCCAAAAAAATATTCGTGTCTACGCCACTGGTGCACACCCATCAGTGATTTTATTAGGGCGGTTCGTCGGTAATCGAAGTCTGAGACATAAGAACTTCGACGGACCAGTTTGGCCACCAAGTATGAGTAGCCAAATGCAATTGTAGTAACTTGTTGATTGGAAGCACTATGAAGTGTGGAATAATTTATAATACAGATGTTCGAATACAAGAGTTGCCTATTTAATGACACACCGCGCAGTGTTTATTTCCCTAAATGTATCCGTATACGCGTTCAAACGGTATTAGCGCACATGTAGAGAGAAGAGAAAAGATACAGGATAGAGGCGTTATAAGCTGTATCTTCTCTCTTCTCTACGTGTCGGCTAAACCGCTTACATGTTTAATTACCAACTAGCCCAATTATCTGCCATTTTAGTTTATTATTACGTTTTACAATAAACGCAATTTACTCACTCGCGCTCCTGTAGCATCACTAAAGTTAATATGTAATCCCTCATCCGATTTTAAGGCTATACGAATTTTCAAGAGAAAAAGAACGGACCAGTGACACATTCGGCACTTTGGGACGGGTGTAGGACAAAATGACCCCGGACGAAATGGTCCCAAGTGCAATCCCGGACAGAATGGTCCCAAGCGAATATTGGACACCTGTAAGGACCAGCCGGAAAGAAAGAAGAGGACGGTCAAGGGTACACGAGCTCGAGGCCCCCGCATCGACTCAAAATGCTTTCTAACCATCGCATTTAAGCTCTTCCAGATATTGTAAATTAAAACGCGATGTAGACTACTACATATTGATGACCAGACCAAGCGACTCTCGAATCAACCAGCTACGCTGCTTCTGGGTTTTGTGGTGAGCAGAGCGACACCTTTCAATCAGAACCACGAGTCCTAGCGACGACAACGACCCAACAGGCACCCCAACAATCCTAAGGGTGACAAAAAACGTCAGTCAAGTTCCCGGACTTCTGGTCATCAGACTCTGAGCTGTGGCTTTTGATGGCGGAGTCTATGTTTAGAAAACACAGAATTGTACCATCCCAAACTAAGTTTCATTACGTTGTCTCGGCTCTTCCGCAAGCGACAGCGGCTATGGTGGGAGACGTACTGCCC